TAGGAAATTTGGGAATCATCGAGTGCAGTACTGATGATCACTGGGTGCAGTTCCTGTTCATCAAGAAATACATATTTTAAATGAGAAGGAAGAGGTTTTAGCTCAGGTTTCTTAACCTCTACAGGTTTCGATTCCTGAACTAATTTTACTACCTTCTTGCTCTCCTTAGGGTCAAGTTGTTCAAGTGCGAGAGCTTCCTCAATAGCATCCACCTCTCTTCTCCAAATACCAGCATCACCTGCAGTAAAATCACCACAAAGAACTTCCTCCAAAGGGTCCTTTGCAAGGACCTGTTGTAACACCACCAAATCTCTCTCTACGAAAATACTAGTATAATACAAAAAATTATACCGTAGAGATAGACTTAGGCATATTACCACCACGTGATTACGCAAGGCTACTCAAAATACTTAACCCAATAACAAAACTTGCAGTGAAAACTCAACTTTCTTTTATTAATACTTATAAAAATAGTAACATTGTTATGAGTACCCAAAATAAAGATAAGACCAACATTCCTAAACTAGGTGAAGCAAATCCTGGGACTCCCATATGCTCATTCATGACTCCACCTGGAAATAGTCAACACTGCTTACCATTACGGTAAACAGGGCAAACCAAAACAAATAAGAAATACGGATTAGCAAAACATGCTAAGTACGATATGTGCAAGATAAGTAAATTCAATTTATTTGCAAACATGCTTTTAAAACCAATTCTAATAATTAATCCAATGAATTCCAAAACTCATGTTTCAAACCAATTCTCAATAATCCAATAATTCGATGAAACGGTTTATAAAACCAATTCCATTAATTCAATATTTCAATAATCAATTCAATAAAACCAATTCCTCTTTTTAAAACCAATTCCTCGCCCAAGTGTGCACACCCCCAAGCTAATCTCCTTATATTGCAAGGCTATTCTTGAGGAAAGACTCGGTCATTTAAAGTCCAAAGTCTTATCTACCAAATCCGCATAGTGGGGTTACTATCAATATGCTTGTAAAGCTTTAATAATAATAATTCAATAATTCCTCCTTAAATAAAATCAACCTTTATAATAGGTTAAATCAAAACTCCTATTTATTTAATTCAACATGCCTTCGAAATCAACCTTTTAATAAATACTTGAGAATTAAATCTCATATAAATAAATTTTCTAATCAATAACTCTTCCTTTGAAAAACCTTTTATTTAATTCAACAAGCTTTTCAAATCAATTCTTTTATTTAAACATGATAAGTAATTCAAACCATTCAAAACATGGATTTAAAATCAATCCTTCAAAAATACATTTATTAAAACAAATATTAAAATCAATTCCTCCAACCATACTTTGTTTCATAAATCATAATTCCAATCAATTTAATTCAATCACCAATAAAATCATATAAAACATGTTATTCAAACCAATCACTTCCAAAGGTATCTAGCCACCTAAACGTACCTTTGATCCTTGCTAGGAATTACACAAATAGACTTGAAGAACCTTGATTGAACACACCCTGCAAATAAATATAACCTTAATTAATATAAGGTTAACAAATAATCACAACAATTAAATTAAAAACCCCCAACTATATGTACATGAACCTTTTAAATTAATTTTCATAAACATGAATAAAAATATGATTTTATTTAATTAAAACTACTCATAATAATTTTTATAAATCCCCCGTAATAATAATAATTAATTAAATAAGAGAAGAGAAGAAGAAAATGTAGAAAACCAAGGAAAAGAGAGAGAGGTGGCGACAAGGGAAGCATTCTGGCAGGTGGCCGGAGGTGGCGGTCGTGGTGATTGGTGGTGGTGCAAGAAAGAAAAGAAAGGAAAAAGAGAAGAATTGGATTTGCGTTGGAAAGAATAAGCAGAACTTGGAAAGGCTATAACTCCTTCAATATAACTCCGAATTAGGTTATTCTTGAGCCTAACCTCAAGGATTTTTTGAGAGGAACAACTTTCTGTGAAAAAGAAAAACCCAAAAACTGACCATAAGTGCCCGAAAATTGGCTCCAAAGATATACGGGCTGATTTTCTTTTAGAAAAGATGAAAAGAAGAGTAAGAGAGAAGAAGAGAATTGTTGTGAGTGTTTGGCCATGAATCAATGGGTATTTATAGGCTAGCTCATGCATGAATTATGGTAGGAAAATGTATGAAGAATTATGGCAAAAAGAATTAAGGAATTACTTGGAGAAGAGAATGAAAGAAATATGGAAAGTTTTGATATTAAGGTGATTAAGAATAATAGAATTTAGGAAAGTGTGTTGTCATAAAAAATAATATGGAAAAAGAGATTACTTGGGGAATAATCAAGGAAGATATAAGGTAGGAAAATAAGATGATCAAATATTTAGGAGATGGAGAAATAAAATTAAGGAAAATAAGAGATTTTAAGGAGATAATTAAAAATACAATTTTTCAAAATAAATCACCCAAAATTTGACCATGAGGGCCGAAAATATTGAGCTTCCATAGATCAAATTTTCGGATCCTATTAGTATATTTTAGGGAGTTATTTTGCTAGATTTAAGGAATTAAAAATAATTGTGTAAATAATACTTATTGTATAAAATAATTAATTAATAAAATACCAATTATTCACTAAATAAATTAACCTAGAAAATCAGATTTTCCACACTAGGAAAACCCGAAAATCTTAGTCAATAATTAGGAATTATCGGACCTTATTAATTAAATAATAAAATATAGTTTTTGCTTTAATTAAAATATTCGAAATATATAAATAATCCGGTTTTTAAAATAAATTAAATGGATAATAAATCTTATCCAAAATTTTAAAATAATAATTAGGTTTCAAAATACTTTTGGCGCCAAAATTCAAATATCACTTTGGATCCAAAATTCAAATAGTAATTTAAATTACTAAAATACCCTTTTTAGGAAATAATAATTAATTAATTTAGAAAATACGTATCAAAATACGGGGTACTACACCTGTGGTAAGCTATCATTGCAAATAACATCAATAATATTAATCACCATCAATACTACAACAATTTTTCTCTAACATAGGACCTTTCAACCCCCCCCCCCCCCCTAAATTAAATGTAATATTATCATCCCCAACAGAGAAAGTGAGTTTTCCATTTTTAACATTAATAATGGCTCCTGTAGTGTGGAGGAAAGGTCTACCTAATATTATTGGAATTTGCGTATACTTAGTCATGTCTAGGACAACAAAATCAACAGGGATAAAAAATTTACCAACTTTAACAGGTACATCCTCTAAAATACCTAAGGGGTATTTAACAGAACGGTCTGCCATTTGCAAAGTAATGTTAGTAACTTTTAAATCACCCATATTAAGCCTTGAACACACAGACGATGGCGTTACACTAACACTAGCACCCAAATTACATAATGCTTTATCAATGAAGACATTACCAATATGACAAGGTATAGAAAACCTACCAGGATCCTTTAATTTTGGTGGAGATTTATTTTGCAATTAAGCACTACATTCCTCTGTAAAAGCTACAGTCTCTACCTCATTAAAGGTTCTCTTCCTCGTCAATATATCTTTCATAAATTTAGCATATGCTGGTAATTGTGTAATTAATTCTGTGAAAGGAACTGTTACGTGCAAATTCTTAACAACCTCCAAGAACTTACCAAATTGCTTATCTAACTTACTCTTTAAATGTCTATTAGGGAATGGAAGTTTGATAGCTGGGACCTGCACATCTCCACTCTTGTCCTGAGATTTACCCTGCAAAGAATTATCAGAAGGGTTAGTTTTACCCTGAGGCCCTGCATGGCTAGTAACAACTGACAGGCGAAAGTCGTATCACCTAATTTAATCAAAAGAATTACCTAAAACCACTAACTAAAATAGATAGGGAATTAGGGTCGAATCCACAGGGAAACAAGTCTTTCTATTCCTAATTAATTAAAATAATCTAAATTATCAAGTAACCAAGTTGTTATTAATGAGAATTAAACTAATAATTAAACTAAAGAAAATTGATTAAGGGAGGAAAACAATAATAAAAGGCCTAGGGTATAGGTTCACCAATAGATAATATTCCAGGGTAAACACAACAATCAATCATCAATGCAGCAATTAATCAGATCATAAAGGGCTTTCGCAACGTATTACAATCACATAATTAATCTACCGGTATTAAATCGCATCTCTCGAATGTTGACTTAACCATTTATAAATTAACCTACCTATTGAAACTAAGCCTAAACATCAATTCTCATCTCTCGAATCTCGAATCAATATTGCATAACTCATACAATTAAACCAGGCCTAATCTAATTGCATAGCATTAAATCAATCAATAGGAAATCAATCAAGCATTGACAAGCAACAATAATAAACTACCCCTACATATTATTTATGGATCCCCACAAACCCAAGAATTAAACTACTCACACATAATTAAATCTAAACTAATCAAAGCAATTAAACAAGACATAATTAATCAAAGCAATTAAATTACTGAAAATAAAAGGGGAAGAAATCGTTACCAAAATAAACGAAAATGATGAATTGTATAAATCATAAGTGTAGAGAGAAAACAAGAGAATTCACTAAAAGCTAAACTAAAAACTAAGAATTTTACTAATGAAAAACGTAATCACTTCCTAAAACAAAAACGTATTTATACTTAGGCTTAAAAATCCTAATTAAAGAAAAAGACTAAAAAAAATGCTGAAATTCCTCTTAGAAAACATGCGCCCGGTCAGGCAGAGCTTCGCCCGGCCGGGCCTGCCTTTTTGTTGGTGGCTTCTTCGCTCGCACCCGATCGAGCGCGAGACAGGGCGAAGGGCTTCTTTTCTTCTATATGCCTCGCCCGACCGGGCACGCCTCAGGGCGAAGGCTTACCCGGTCGGGCGAACTCTCGAGCAAGCTGGACCTCTTCACTTGGGCTATGTTCTTGGCCCAATTCGCATTTCCTCTTTGGGTCTTGAATACTTGGTCCATTCACTAGTAGAAAAAATGAAATAGGCACCCCCACTTTAGCACCGGTTCTTGAAAACCGGTGCCAAAAAAATTGGGTGGGATTGAAAAATTCGGTTTTGGCATCGGTTCGCCTTAAATCGGTGCCAACTATGGTAATTAGCACCGCTTCAAACCGGTGCCAATTAAAAAAGACAAAAAAAAAAAAAAAATCGGGGTATGCGTTACTCTGCTTCTTCATTCTCTTTCCTGTTCTTTTTCCATTTCCATTCTCTCTCTTCTCTCTCTTCTCTCTCCTCATATGCTCTCCTCTCTCACCTCAACCAAACCTTCAGCCGCAGCCGCAACAACAACCACCATGCACCGCTCACAAATTCTCTCTCCCCTTTTCTTTTCGTGCTTTCTCCTCTACCCTCCTTTTACCCTATCAATCATTTTCTAGGGTTTATCGCCCTTGTTATACCTCTAAATCTCAATCTCATATCCAATCACCTCTCTCTAATTTCTAGGGTTTCGAATTACACTGATGCTGCAATAATTGGAGGCTGGAGTTGGTGGTGATTAAATTGATGTTGTTGAACACAAAGAGGCAAACTAATATCAGCAGGCTACACTTCTTCTTTCTCGAGGTTTCTTCATCTTGCTCGATCTTTCACTTTATGTTACTCTCCTAATTAAAGTACTTATCGGTTTCTTAATTTCTGTAATTTCGATCAATTTCTGTCGTTTTCTAAGATATTAGGGTTTATTACTCTTATCTGGGTTTTCATTTCATTTTTTATCGGCCAATTTCTGAAGCATGCATATCATTTTATTTGTTATTCATATCATTTTTGATAATCTTGAAGCTGATTGATGGAAATGATTGATCTGGGTGTTTGTAATTCTTGTTAATTTTGTGTTTTTCTAGTGTTACTTTGATAATTATGAAGATCTGTCGTGATCAGTTTTGTGGGTTTTTTTTTTTTATTGAATTAGTTTTGTGACCGATTTGAATTAGAGATCTATTCAATTAGTTATTTTATTTAAGTTCAGTGATTACTGGGGCTCTTTGTTTGTGCTTATGAATTAGAGAATTACTAAATTAATTTTGTGGGGTTGTTGAATTTGATAATTTACTAATAAATTTAGGTGTATTAATTTGATGCTTTATCAGGTTAAAGTTAGAATTTAATTTGCTGAAATTATTTCAGTTGAGGCAGTGTTTTTATGCTTATTGTGTTACCTTGAATTTACAGATTTAAAGTTGTTGCTGCATTTTAGTTAGATTTGTAGATTTGAGGGATTGAAGTGGGTTATCAAAGAGGTTGAGCATTGGATGAATGGGTTGGAAGATACGTATTGATGAACTGCCCAGGTGTAAAGATCTGGGCTGAAGTTTCCTTTGTTTTCGTGTTCGTTTTTCTGCTGCATTTTGCCTATGGGTCAACAAATCCCAGTGATGGTAAGTGTTATCCTAGCAATTTAGTTCATCTATCAATTTCAATGGTTTTCTTAAAGTTGATAGAGGATGTGCAAAATACTTCTAAACAATCTGTCTTGTGGATAGCTTACTAGGGGATAAGTTGCAGCTTTGTGTTATTGTTTTTGCATTCAGGTTGCTTAAAGGCTTAAGTTCTATCTGTTGTTAGGTGACTAATTGGTGCTTTAGACTTCTAGAGTATACTTAATGTGTACTCAAGTGATGCATCCCTGACTTGTTGCTGTTTTACTTATGGTTAATTTGTAACACAATTCCTTATTTGGATTTATATAATTGATGGCTTAGATTGGTCTGTGTTGTTTAGTTAATCCGATTGATTAGCTTTGTAGTTTTCGAATCTTTTTGATACACACATAACATATTAGCTTCATGATGTCTGCTTAGATCAAACAGGAGCTTTAGAATTGGACCGTTTTACCTCTCTTACCCATGTCAATATTTATTGTGAATTATGACGAGTTTCACTGGCTAATTAATTTGTGTCTGTAGGACATTTGATGAGTCATGTGTAGTAAGCTTGTTGAATTTTGATGCTTGTAGTTCTCTTACCCGATTATTGAAGATGGATCGATTATTCTAACTGAATTTACTTAGTATTTTTATAGTTTTTGCTTTTTCCTTCTATCTTCAGGGTTAGGATGAAGTTAGCCTGCAACATCTTATATTAATTTACTTGGTAGGCCATAGTTGTAGCCTTGTAGGTGTTGGATCCGATTTATAATAGTGTCATTGCTGGACAATTGGACATTTTTCATTGTTCTCTTTTTTCCTTGGAGCCTAGAGGAATTACATGTCGTCATTTGATGCATCTCTTGGTGCATTTAGTGACGGAATCTGTCTATATAAAATTCTTAGTTTTCTTTTTCTTCCAAAACAGCAAATATTGGTTTAAACGTGAAAAAAATTGTGAATCTCCTAAATTACTCTTTGTTTTCTTTGAAAGTCTATAGCAGTTCATCATTAGTTAACCAAACTAAGGAGCCATTTCCAGTCTAACCGATTAAAACAAACTATAAACCATAACCTCTCTCTTTCCTTAATTTCCATTTTTTAGCATCTTTAAAAACCAAACAAGATGTTAGTTATCAGAATAAGTCATCTCTTAATTTGTTTCATAGTTGTTGTGTAGCAGTTTTGTATTATTTTCTTCATATTATATTTCCTAACATTTTTTTAATCATTTTACTTTGGAAGAAATAACAAGATTATATGTTTTGTTTAATCCAGTGTCCGTCTCATATCCATTAAATTTGTTTTGGAAAATAGTTTGGGAATTCGGTTTAATGGAAGGCTGTTATTTGGGAAATGATTTGCAGTTCAACAGATCCTGTAATCACTCTGTTCTTCCTGATTGCCTGCAACCTTAATATCTATGTTACATTTTGTTTCTAGTGTAGCTGCTGTTTCATTTAATCTGATTTTATAATTAGTTTTTGATTAGTTTAAAATTCTTTTTTCCTTGATGCGCTTTACTGAGTTCTCAAAGATAATATACATCTTAGAACTTCTATTTGATCATATTTATCGTCTTACGAAATATTTGTTTCAACAACAGGGGGATCATGTGGCCCTTTTGTCTGCATTTTCAATAATGGGACTCAAGTTGCGCATGGACTTACCTGAGCAGGCAATGGAAGTGAACAGTATTCTTTCGTAACTCAACTCCCGCAAGTGAAGCTGCTGTGAGTGCCCAGTTTGGTGTAAAGGTCACTGTTTTTTTAATCTAATCTATACTAATTTCATGTTCTCTGTCCAGGAAACATTGAAGAATTTCTCAGAAGAAAGAGCAAAAAAAATGAAAGCCTTACAAGAAAAAATGAAGCTTGATGACAAAGAAGCTAAACGATTTAGTCCTGTAAGTACACTTGGTTTCAATGAATGATGCTACGATTGCTACACTATTTCTCCTGTTATATATGTTTGTAAATATTGTAATGGTTGCTTTTAGGTTGATGCCTTTCCTGGGGATATAGTGATTTTTGCACGGGTGCTAAATCTTTTGAGAGGTTAGGGCGTTAATGCTTTATAGATAATCTTTTTTTAATTCACCTTCATTAAACAATGTCTTGACTTTTGAGGTTAATATACATGGCTTGATATTAATTAAACGTCTGACTTTGAAATAGGTCTTTCTGCTACAATGGAAGTCCGCATAGTCTACTTTGATATCATGAGACCATTTGCCGAGTCTGTTTTGGGCGGGTGTGTTAATTTTCTACCAAATGTGGATGTTTTAAATTCAACTCATGCCTTGTCTGACGTAAATTGATTACCTGTCAGAATCATTAATATGGGGCCTGCAACAAATACGCAATGGCTCTGTGATACTCCTGTGCATTCAGATGTGGAAGGCAAGCTGCGGAAGCTCTTGATTGATCTGGGAAATGCTGGAAAGATACTTGGTATTCAGGTATGTTATTTATGTATATTATACTGTATGAGTCATGACTCTTTTCACGTTCCTTATAGTACTGAATCTAAGTTGCGACTTGTCTAAGGCCCCCCCTGCTTACCAGATGAAGCATGCTCACAAGTAAATAAGATATATGTATCTTTACTAAGTAAATTATTAGTTGTTTTATTCTGCTTTTTCACATCTTTCATCTGTATATTGTTTGTCTGCTCCTCTTTCATCTTTTTCTCATTTTTTCCTGATGAGGTGGGAAGGGTGTCTTTGAGGATTTAGAAGTTTAAAGACTGGAGAAATCTCTATGTTTTATTTTATTGAAATATCTACTCAGCCTTCATAATATTAAATTTTACTGTCCTAATCTAGAACTTTTAGTTGAACAGTTTAATTGCTGATTTTAATCAAAAGTTCAATGGAATCTGAACAAGATAGTTATGGGTCTGTTGACATTTGATATACATGTTTACATGCGTCTATTAATATGTCCTGGGTGGTGGTTCTGAAAAAGAGAGTTAGCTAGTGTCATAATCTTCAATTTCCATACTTGATATACGAATTATTCATACGCAATCTATCAAGTGCCTAATTTCAACTCTTCACTGGTATTGGATCTATCGCTAGTGATTTAGAGCTATATTTAATCTCAAGATTTAGCTGAGAAGTTGCTTGAGCTAGCTCAACTTATTATATTAGTTGTAGACATGTAGTATTGTATTGACATGTCTTCCATTCTTTGGGCATGTACTAGTATCTTACAGTGAGAAAAGCATTATGCTATGGACTATTTGAATCAAGCTAATGGAATTCGGTTTAATGGAAGGCTGTTATTTGGGAATTGAGCTATTTGAATCAAGCTAATGGGATTATGTGGAAATTTATGCATGACAAGCTGATGCTTGGTTCTTTTAGTTTTAATTTGATTGCTTGATTTATCAGGAGGAAGTTGAGGGGAACTAAAACCCAGTGTAATTACTTTGGTTAGCTGGGTAATGCATAAGCTGAAGTTCAAGTTCTATGACGCCCTATGATTTATTTTGATGGGAGTTGTTATTGAAACAGTCACAATTTGGAAAAAAAAAAAAAAAAAAAACAGCCCAATAGCATGTTTGTTTTGTCTAAATTTAAGAGGCAAATATTGTTGGGAAAATTTTGGATAGTATATGTGGGAACTTTGACAGGATATGTTTCAACAGTATATTAAAACATTTGAAGGTATATATTTAGACCCTAGATAGGAATTAAGATGTTGTGCTGAAATTCTATGTTTTTAATTCTGCCTATAATTACATTCCTCCTGCCTGACTTAGCACAGAAAACAGAAAACATCTGTATCACCACCAAGAACCAGCCTAGCAACACAGCATCTCAGCATCACAGCTCCCCAGAAAACCAGCAACATGGCTGCAAAACGAAAACAGACAGCAGCACAATAGTTTCAACACAGCAAACTTCTCAACAAACTAGAACAAGATCCAAGTGTACTAGTCAGCATTCAACTGAAATCTCAAGTGTTTTTTTTTTTTTTTAGTTTTTTAAAGTGTAATATTACAAGTTATTGAAGAAAATATGTGTTTTATGTATATTATGATTATATATAAGTATTTGGTACAATTTAAGTGAAAAAAAAAACTATTTTTTTTGGGCATTTTTGGCACCGGTTTTGGAAAAGAACCGGTGCCAAAAGTTTTTTTTTAATTTTTTTGGGGACTTTTGGCACCGGTTCTAAGTCAAAACCGGTGCCTATTGTATTGAAATAAAAAAAATAAAAAAATAAAAAAAAGCGCCATGGGTAATTGGTTAACCGGTGCCAAATCCTTATATAGCCACCGGTTTTGAACCGGTGCCAAATCTTTAGAGATTTGGCATCCCTCAAATAACCAACGGTTCAAAACCGGTGCCAAAGAGGGGGTTTGAACCGGTGCCTATTTGCCTTTTTCGCCTAGTGATTGCCACAAACTCTTCTTCTTCACCGAGCCCTTAATCACCAGTTTGATCACTCCAACGCGATCTTGGGCTACAAATATGGTCATATGAATGTGATCCTACTCCAATGCTCGTAGTGGCTCAAATATATCCGGGAAAATGCTTCAAATCTGCAATTTCCTATAAAACAATACCAAAACTACGAAAGCACTAGAAAACGCATATTAGTATAAAAGTGGCTCCAAAGAGCTAATAATACTCCTAAATATGACCAAGGGACGGGGTAAATCGCTATATAAAATGAACATATCAACAACATCATTTGGTATAACAGGATCATGATTAGCAATTTTTGTTATAACAGGCTCATCATCTTTGGGCATAGAAGGCCCATCATAGTGTGAACCACTTCTCAGGGTAATTGCATTAGCATGATCTGTAGGTTGTACTGGCTGCGATGGTAGGGGCTCCCTACTTGCGAGTTTGTAGAGTACAGGAAAGATGCGCAATTTGATTATCTATGATTTTATTATGTGCTAGGATCAAGTCAATTTGCGCATCCCCTACTCTACATTTACTTTTGCATATTGGCTAACATCGTTTTAATTTCTGACAGGGCAGATCAGTAGATGGAGGTGGAGTTTGTGGTTGGGTCCTCTGGTTTGGGGGTTGGTAGTATTTTTGCTGTGGTTGATGTGGGGCTTGTTGTTGTGGTTGTTGTGGAGGTGGAGGTGGAGGGTTTGGCACATTAGTACTCCGGTAGGAAAGATTTGGATGGTTCTGGAGACCAGGATTATAAGTGTTGGAGTATGGGTTATTTTGCCTATAGGCTTGGAAGGCATTAACCTGCTCCACGGAACTCCTACAATCTTGTGCCCAATGACCTTTAATTCCACAATTTTCACAAAAAACATCAGTAGCGTTATTATTAACAGCAAAAACATTAGTTAAAGAAGTAGAAATAGCAGTACTAATATTATCTAATTTCTGATAAATAGAGGCTAATTGAGCTTGCACAAAGGATACGGAATCGACATTGTGTTTCCCTTTGTTTGCAAAACCTCTAGGATTCCCATATTGGGAATTATGAATTGTCATCTCTTTAATAATTGTTCCTGCAAAATCTTCTTGAAGATTTATAAATTTTTTATTAGCTGCTAAGTCTAGGATTGATCTGGATGAATTTCCAAGCCCGTTGTAGAAGGCTTGGATTATTTGCCTCTATGCTATCCCATGATGGGGACATTCTCTCTGCAAATTCTTAAATCTTTCCCAAGCTTCATATGAAGTTTCATCCACTTCTTGGGAAAAATTAAGGATCGAACTCCTCAACAAAGTGATGAGTCTATTTTATATATTTTTTATTCCCCGTCCCATGGTCATATTTATGCTTATTTGAGCTCTAAGGAGCTATTTTTATTACTAATATACGTCTTCTAGTGTTTTTGTAGAGTTGGTATTATTTTGTAGGAATTTGTAGAATTATGATAATTCTCGAGGTTATTGAGCCACTATGAAAATATTGGAGTTTGATCGTATCTTATGACAGTAATATTTGAAGCCCAAGGTCAAGCTAATTAGATTTGGTTCGGTGATTAAGGGCTCGGTTCGTTTGCATGGAGTACTAAATTTATTGCATGTCCAATACTTGGATATCAAGAAGAAGGAAATTGGGTCAATTCATATAAACGCACAAGTTACAAATCCAAGGTGCAAAAAAGCCCAATCCCAAAAGTGTTGGGCGTGTAATAGCGGGCCCGATTGGGCGACCTAATGCCCGATCGGATGAGTATGCTGCAAGGTGCATTAAGTCGGTTTTTGCTCTTTGACTTGGGCCCAATATAGTACTCCGTATTTGATTAGGAGCAGCTTTTGGGAGAGTTTGAGTGGAATTGGGTTTTTTTTGCTTATATAAACCCAATTCACGATTTTTTAGGGATTAGCTTTTCATTATTATTTTTAGTGCTTTTCATTATTATTTTCAGTGCTTTTCTTAGTTTAGCTTTATCATATTAATTCTTAGATTATGTAGCTTTTATAAGACTTAGTAGTTTTAGTCTTAGTTTAGTTTTGTTTATCATTAGTATTAGTTTTAGATTTTAGTTGCAGTTGACTTTTGTTTTGTTATTATGAGTTGATTATTAAGGAGTATTGTTTTCTGTAAGTTCTTTTTATTATTGTTTCATATTTAGTTTATTATTATTGCTTTTAATCATGCTTTGTTTAATTGCTTTGATTAGTTTAGATTTAAATATATGCGAGTATTTAATTTCTAGGGTTCTTGGGGGATCCATAATTAATATGAAGGGATTAATTATTTTGGTTGATTATTGATATTGCATGATAATTCTTATTGAATTGTTTTAATTCTTTACAATTGGATTATGAATCGAGCATATGTGATTTGATTGTAAAAGTATAGCAATATTGAATTGATGAATCGAGCAGATGTTAATTTGATATTAAAGGCTATTTTCAATAGGAACTTAGATCTAGTATATTGCAAGAGCCTGTTAAATCTATGTTGATTAATAAACTGCGAGAGCCTGTTAATCATGTTATTTGCAATATCGATTGTTGATTATTATGCTTTATCTCGGAGTATTAATTATTGGTGAACATGTGATCCTAGACTTTTTATTATTGATTTCTTAGTTTAATTCATACAAACCCTTATTTATTTCTTGATAATTTAGACTATAATAATTAATTAGGAATAAAAGAACGTTGTTTCCCTGTGGATTCGACCCTACTTCCCTATCTATTTTACTTAGTGGTTTTAGGAATTACTTTTGATTAGGTGATACGACTTTATCCTGTTACAAAGTTGTCCTCTCTGCAGGGTAATATTTATTATAGAAATTCATAGCAAGAGAATTACAGTCAGTAATACCAAGAGCAGTCGTATTCAATCCATTATACCACAATTTAGCTTTACCACATAAAGAAAAGGGAAAAAGAATCTCCCTGATTTGGTCCTGCGTGACCCCAGCTTGTCTGATGGTATTGCAATATTGGCAGAAATCTAAAATATGAAGATTTGGATCTTCACTCTTAGCTCCGCTAAATTGCTTCCTTTCGATCATAGTAATAAACTGAGATTTAATCTCGAATTGTACTCCCTCGAGATTAGGTGTAGGAGCAAGATATGGGAAATCTGTCAAGGACGGCTGCGAATAATCGCTAAGCTTGCAAGGTGGTGGTGGTGGCGGATTCACCATCTCTGATTCTGGTTCTGAAGAAACTTCTGTGTCGCTAGAATCAGATGGGGTTCCAAAGGTATATCACCCTCAGAAGTAGCTCGTACTTGTGTGAAAAGGTTCTTCTGTCTATGAAAAGAATGTTCGATTTCAGGATCGAATGGAATGTAGCCTGATCTAGAACTCCTGGGCATAAACACAGAACTAAACAAACAAATATGAGAAGCTGTCCCAAAGAACTTGCGTTCTCCGAGACGAAAGAAAATAATCTAGATTACAAAAAAAAAAAAAAAAAAAAATCAGGAATAAAAATAAAATCATTTCCCTGGCAATGACGCCAAATTTTGACAGGATAAAGTCGTATCTCCTAATCAAAAGAATTACCTAAGTCCTCTAACTAAAGCAGATAGGGAAGTAGGGTCGAATCCACAAGGAAACAATGTCTTTCTATTCCTAATAAATTAATATAATCTAAATTATCAAGTAACCAAACTATTTTTATCAGAATTAAATTAAGTAGAATAATTAAACTAAAGCAAATAAAATTGAGGGGATATCAATAAATCAAAGCCTAGGGTGTAGGTTCACTAATAAATAATATTCCAGGGTAAAACATAACAATCAATCATCCATGCATCAATTAATCAAATCATAAAGGGCTTTCGCTACGTATTACAATCATAGAATTAATCTACCGGTATTAAATTGCGTCTCTCGAATCTTGACTTAACCATTTATAAATTAACCTGCCTATTGAAACTAAGCCTAAACATCAATTCTCATCTCTCGAATCTCGAATTAATATTGCATAACTCATACAATTAAACCTAGCCAAATCTAATTGTATAACATTAAATCAATCAATAGGAAATCAATTGAGCATTAACAATCAACAATAATAAACTACCCCTCCATATTATTTATGGATCCCCACAACCAAAGAATTAAAACTACTCACACATATTAAAATCTAAGCTAAGAAAAGCAATAAAACATGACATGATTAATCAAGCAATTAAATTACTGAAAATAAAAGGGAAAGAAATCGTTACCAAAATAGACGAAAATAATGAATTGCATGAACCAAAAGAGTTGAGAGAACAAGATTATTATTAAAAAGCTTAAAATTAAATAAATTAACTAATGGATGACGTACGCAAATCTCGCTTAACAAAGTGTATTTATAGTTAGACTCCTAAATCCTAAAGTAAAACAAAGTTTAAGTCGCAAAAAACGCTCCTCAAAAGCACGCGCCCGGTCGGGTGCCATTTCGCCCGGCTGGGCCCGCCTTCGACTGGCAGCCCCCTCATCTCGCGCCCGGTCGGGCGCGCTTCAGGGCGAAGAGTGTTTCCTTCCTATCTTCCTCGCCCGGCCAGGCGCGCCTCAGGGCGAGGGCTTCCCAGGTCGG